GGGGGGTGGCAACAGCTGCCGCTGAGGTCATCCAGGCAAGCAGCTGCTGCCCCCCAACCACCCACCCACCCGCCTACCCTTGTTCACTGTCCCTTTTCATTCACTTCACCGATGCACACACACACTACAAAGACGATGGGGGGTGGCAACAGCTGCCGCTGAGGTCATCCAGGCAAGCAGCTGCTGCCCCCCAACCACCCACCCACCCGCCTACCCTTGTTCACTGTCCCTTTTCATTCACTTCACCGATGCACACACACACTACAAAGACGATGGGGGGTGGCAACAGCTGCCGCTGAGGTCATCCAGGCAAGCAGCTGCTGCCCCCCAACCACCCACCCACCCGCCTACCCTTGTTCACTGTCCCTTTTCATTCACTTCACCGATGCACACACACACTACAAAGACAATGAACTTGAAACTGTAACAATTAATCATCTGTCTCTGACTGCTTTTCCTATCACCCTTTTTCTTTTACAAACACCCAAAATCTGCATGTCAGATGCAAATGTGCTCTTCCAAAGAGTCAATATTAACCATTAATACCAGCATTATAACTCTAATTTAATGGTAATAACAAATTTACTGAACAATTCTTCATTTCAGTCAATGTTTTTTTTCAGTAACACAAACAAACAGAAGTACATTTATGGATTCTAAATGAAATATTCAGAGGGCTCTGATCCATGTCTATAACTGTTCAATTCAAAGGACTGCAGAGTTTTCCTGCTACATGATAATCAAAAGTTGTCAAATCAGCCTTAGTTTCACAATGTAGCCCCACAAAGTTAACCTCCAGGGATGACCCCCCCCCCTATCTGTAATTTAAGGCAGGAATCATGCCTCAGCATCTCCTTGGAGAGTCCGTCAGCATGAAAAAGAAGTGTTTTCATAGCTGGAACAATCTGCATTGCCAATGATGTCTAAAGCATGGGGGATGGATGGGCGTATGGGTGCAGTTATCTCAGTCGAAGAGGTGATGGCATGTCTCGGCTGCTTATAACTGGATGAAAACAGACTTGTTTTGTTTTCTGCTGCTCTGTTGAGAGTTCTCTCCTGTGTTTTGCTTCGCTTCCTCTCTTCCCTCTCGCCTCCTGCTCTCGGCTTTCATCTCCACCCCTCTCCTGTGTGGTCCCACTGTAATTATTCTACGGCCGCTCAGTTTCACAGTAATGAGCCCACACCTGCATCTTATAGTCTCTTCTCTCTCTCGATTTCGTACCCAAAGTATCCTTCACACCTTTTTTCTATTAGCACTCATTCTTGGCCCCGAACTCCTCCGTTTTCAACATTTGGCTCATTTCTCCCCGACCACATTTTAATTTGTGTCAATATTTTCACAGTTTCCCATTTTTCCCAGATGGGACAACGCTCGATTGCCGTAAATCATCCGCCGTGCTGCTGCCCAGTGGTTGGAAGCGACGTGGGGCCATTCTGTTAAAGCAGAGCTTTGTTGGCCGGGCAAATTGGGAGATTGTTTGAAACGTTTGTTCTTTTATTGTAAGCGAGTTGGCAAATGTTTGTCCGACTAAATAAGTCTGAGTGTTCGTGTTTGTGCTTGTTTATCTGATGACTTGTATATGTGTTGGTGTGAGTGGAATTATGGGACCACCAGTAAAGTGAAACTGAAAAAGATGTTTGCAGCTCTGGTAACCTCAAAGACCTTCAGAAACAGAAAAATTCAGTTGATCCTGCAGCTGTCTTCATCTTCCTTTTCTTTTCGGCTCTTTGTATCTGTTTTTCTAAATCACTTGTATGAACTTCAGACTTTTCCCCTTGTTCCCCGTGAAGTGAATGATAGAAGATTTATGGTTCAAACCAGATGCGATGACAATGGAAGTGTGTCAGGAATGAGATGGGAAGCGGTGCGTAAGATGGAAGGAAGAAAGCAGCTCGGAGTCATGTGAGTGCACGAGCACATAAATGCAGTTTCGTGTTTGAATGACCACGCTCGCCACTGCACGGTATCAGCTCGTATGCTGGTCCATTCGAGTGACGGTTGTGATGATTTGGGTTGATTTAAAAGCTAGGCTGGCATCTGGTCATAATTGGAGAACAAAGAAAAGAGAAAGACAAAGAACGGTATCGAATGTAGATGGCCTGTCAACGTCTGAACGAAGGAGCTGGTTAGGAATTTGTGTTGATTCTTAATGACAAATAGGAAAAAACAGGATTTGGAAAATCATTTTTGTCTTTCGGTCCCTTTTTATGTGGTTTTGCACCAGGATTTTTTTTCACTAACACTACTGAACACAGCAACAATAAATTATAGTCTCGTCTACTCTTACACACTGAGTACACATGACCCGGCTTTATGAATCACGGTAATTAATTGGGATGTTGCATGCCGACTAAAAAAAGCATTGTTTCCCCTTGCTTCTTTTGTTTCCCAGCATGCGTAGACCTCTCTGAAAGCAAACCACACATTTCCTTATCCCAGGTTCATTCTGCGTGTGTGAGACTGCAGCTGTCTTCCTGCCAGAAGCTAACACTTTGGATCAGGTTGCAGACCAACATCATCTCTCTATCCATCAGTCCCGCCGTCCTGATTCCCGCTCCATTTTTTGCTGTCTCAGGTTTCTGTGGTTTTAATTGAGATATCTGGTGCCTCATCTGGAGAGGATGTAGAGGTGGCTAGAGTTTGCAACCTAATTGGAGTCTTACACACACACACACATGCAGAAATGTGCAAGTATGTGTGATTGCAAAGCCTCAAATGAATCTCAAATAACCCGGTGCCAGTCACACACAGCCTCACCCATCTACTTACAAACACACCGCTTCTGCTCGGGTTACACTCAGCACTGTCCCACTAATCACAGAAAAATGCACGAACAAAACGTGGAGCTGCAGTTTGCTTCAGGAAAATAGTAAAATTCACAAAAACACACAAAGAAGGCACACTCAAGCATTTCTTGAAGCAGGAGCCGTTTGGAGCTCTTGAACACCATACCCCAAAAATATATTTGAAAGACATGATTTGATTTATTTAATGGGAAGGTTGCCGAAATTTAAGTCGGAAGTGAGAAAGTGAATGTGCACGCACTATCTTCTCTTGTCCCGAGAATTTCCTTCTGTTTTTTTATCAGGTTTCTTTCATTCTCCTTGTAACAACATGCCGCCTTACAGTGAGGTAGACAAAGCTGGTTCTCCGGAAATCAGGGTGGCATTGTGGAGACAGGGGATGTAAACATGCTGGTGTGTGTGTGTGTGTGTGTGTGTGTGTGTGTGTGTGTGTCAGTGCACACATGAAGGAGCATGACAGGATTGTGGAGGTCCAGATGGGCAAGAAAGAATGGAGTCAAATTTCAAAGACTTTCTTTTTCCGCCTTGTTGTGCAGCACAGATAAACACGCAGATGCACATAGATACTACTATCTTATCTTTTTACGACTATATATTTATATTCAAATATGAACAAAAGGGACAGATTTTTTTTTGTTGATTTGCCTACATACACACGGCACGCGCGCACACACACACGCACCTCCACAATGAAACGTTCTTCAGGGGCCCTGACCTCCATTTCACGACTGTCTGTGCCACATCCTCCTGTTCTGACTTGTTTCCGTTACAGCAAAGATATGGAAAGAAGATGGACATTAGAGAGATGGCAGAGAAGAAAGAACAGAGCTTCTATTTTTCTTGCCTTCAGTCTACAGACACCAACACCTCCAGAGGATAAAGTCAATCCATGTCTTAACAAGTTTAGGTGCCACAGAGGCTCATATCTTCTGTATCCACTGAAACTCATACGTTTTCAGCTAAACAAAAACTCTCTGTTACCTGGCACTGAGGTGGTCTGTGGAAACTTTATTTTTACGACACAGCAGTCGTGATTTCTGGTTGGAGGCCTTTATTGTCTTCCTCTTTCTTCCTTTTTGCATGCCTTACCCTATTTAAGCTTCTTTTCTTTGTCCATTTTCCTTCCTCTTTCTTATTCAAACGTCACGCTGTCCATTTGCTTAACCAGTTAAGAGGCCATGTCTTTACTCTGGAGCGTCTTTCACCTCCTTATTCTTTCCCCTCCTGTTTGCCTTCATGCTTCATTTGAAGCCGTGTATGTGCATGTGTCTGCATGTGGGTGAGTTTGGGGTTTTTTTTTCTACCGATTGTGTGCCAAGTCAAGCGCTCTGAGACCCCTAATGGGTATTAAATACCCTTTGCAAGCTTTGACTTCTCAATTCGCCATACTAGATGCCATCTGTCACTCAACAAGTCTCTTCCTAGAGGGCCAACTTGTGACTCATTCAAAAAAAGTAAATCCAACCAAAAACAGAAGTTGGGCACAATTCTTATGCAAAGTTATCCAAAGTTTATGTCATACTCCCTCTTATAAGTATGAAAATCATTCTGCTACTGAATAGCTGGCTTTTGTGTTTTTAACACTTGTTACTGCTATAGTTCTTCTGGTTTTAGTCAGTCCCTCAGGAAGTCAAATCACAGAAACATGTCAGTAATATGCAAATAATGTTGCGGTAAATAAGACATCTGTTACTGTAAA